ATAACCTTTGTAGCTTTAATAAGGATTAATCTATATTTCATTTATAATTTATGTAGTGAAAACTGTGAGGAGTTTGATAACTTTATTATATTCTACATGTTAGACTTACCTGACAAATCTTAAAGCCCTGTTTACAAGGTTACATGAGTCAAAAACAAAAAGTAAAATTAAGTAAATATCTGAACCAGTCTGACTGGGCCAATATAAAAAAAATGAGCCCTGATATATATTGGAGGGCTTTTGAGGGACATGTAAATGTGGCATTTATTATAATGAGTTTATGTGAAGATTGTTTTAAGTTCACTTAAATTAGAAGTTGTTATATTTTTAAAGTCTAGTACATTTTAAAATGTACAGCTTTTAATTATACTGTAATGCTGAATGTAATGCAAAAAATTCCATAGAGACACCAGTAACAGTATTGGTATCGGTGATGCTTTCTTTCATAAAAAGATGCCATTAAACAAATATTTCAAATATAGGCGACTGTCTTTATGTTGTTTCTACGTTAATTCAGAGATTAAATGTGAAAATATTACAATATAAAAATACATTAAAAACGTTGATGTTACGTGTGATTAATCACGATTACTTACAGAAAAAAGTGTGATTAATTATTTATTTATTTAATCGATTAACAGCACTATATGTATATATAATAAATGTTATATATATAATTAAATTAAAACATTACAAAAACAACATGCTTTAAAACTGAGAATACATTAAAAATCATGGAGAATATACATTTTCTGAGAATTTGTTCTATTTTTAACAAATATAACATGTAGTGTGGTTTCTGCTAAAAACAATAAAAAAAAGATCATATTTGAAAACAAATATCATTATCTTACACGATTTTGTTTATTTTAATGTTTCTTAATTGGAATCTTTTTAGTTAGAAATAATACAATTATTTTTGTAAAAGAACATATTGCAATATATATATATATATATATATATATATATATATATATATATATATATATATATATATATATATATATATATATATGTATTTCTGTTGATTTCTCGGCACTATGTGCCGAAAAAAGGGCACCAAAACGCTTACATGCACAATTGTCAATGCTGTAACCTCTTGGTTGGCTGCCAAAATAAATCCAAGCAAATAAATGCTTATGCTTGTCGTGTGACACAGGCCAAAGAGTTAACCTTGCTAGAAGCGAAATATTCACTGCCGCAAAGATGGCAGCCGAGAATGAGAGCTGCTAATTGGGTGAGAGTCTCTCGCCAGCAGAGGATCGTCGTCTAGAAGGCCAGTAATAATGACCCATGTCCCTCCTTTCCCCAAATAGCCTCCAAGACTGCAGAGCGCCGCAGTCCTGCTCAACAAGTTACCCGGCTGCATGTGACTCGCCAAATATAACCCGAAACCTACCACATCTCTGCTTGCCGGGAAGCTGTGCAGTCATCAAAGCAAAGTTATTTATAGGGCCAAATAGTGTCTTTTGCAACAAAACAACATACTTGACACTGATTTAAATGACAGCCGGAAAAGAATTCAGTCTAACTAAGTCTCGCGGCAAGCTAACTCGCGTGGGCGGTAAACGTTAGCACGATCCCTCGCGAGCGCAGAGAATTTAATGAATTCGCAGGGTGCCGACCACAAGATCATTAGAACACAGCGTCTGGATTCTAAACAGCTTTTTTCTGTAACACCATCCAATTAAAGTGGAATCATGTTGGTAGAAGCTGACATTATGTTCAGAATTTTGCAAGAAAGGTCATATGCTTGTAGTGGCCTTTTAATCTCGCATAAGGTATAGGGGTACAAACAAATTGTGCTTGTTTTCAGAGAAAAGTTTAGTGAAACGTTTAACTGTTTGTAAAAAAACTGCATATGGGTCATTGTGCCTCGAAAGTACACTTCTTTTATTGCTCTCGAAGCGAGACAGCACTGCCTAGTGAAAAAAAACGTATGATATAAGTGTATTATATGTATTTTAAAACGAAGTACAGTACAAAAACGAAGTATAGTACAAATCTATTAACACCACTTGAGACATACTGATATAAATATTATAATTAAACTTTATTTGGAGTAGTACTTTTGTGCAAAATACACATTCTTAATATTAAGCCTAAAATGTGTTTTAATATCACTATTGGGAAGGAATATGATAGTATGATCTCTGTATAATATCAGTCTTTAAATTAAAGATATTTAAAGTGTACCTAAAGTTTTAGCACACTAAAAATATACTTATTCATATCTTTAGTTGAACTTCAGGATAACTAAAGTGCATTAAGTACAAAATTAGTTGTTCCAATTTTAGCATACTTTAAGAATATCAATTTAGTATACCAACAGTACAATTACAGGGTATTTATATTCAGTACTTACCGGTAAATATGTAAATGTATCTGTAGTATACTTAGCATAAAATAAATGTATTTCAAATACATTTTTTAGATTTATTTTCACAAGAGCTATCTAGCAGCAGCATTCTCAGATGTTATTTACAGAACTGTACATTTTGCTAAAGAGGGAAAAAAAATGTAATTCTGACATAATTTACACACCCTCATGTCATTCCAAACTTTTATAACTGACTTTCTTCTGGGGAACACAACACATATTTTAACATGAGCGTAAATGATGAGAATCTTGAGTGAATGATTATTTTGTGGGCAAACTTTCCCTTAAAGCTATATCTGTGAAATATGATTATTGAATTTTGGACAGACAGAAATTCTGATTTTAAAAAGTCTAAAGAACACATTATAGTTTGTGGTAAAACCCATTTCCTTTAACAACAAAGTTAACTGTGGTTGCTTTACATGTCAGCCAATTGGCTCTTCCTGGTTCTTCTGGCTGGTTTTCAGCTGCACTGTGTGCCAGATCCAGATCGTATGCCAAACGTCTGGATATTCAAGACTAATAATAGCAGGGCTCAACAATAAGGATGGATCTGCTGGCCCGGGGCCGGTTTGACAGTGTTTCAGGCCGGATGACAGAACTGTCACAAAATTTTACACTCACTTGTACAACCATTTGTTATGCCTTGCAAACTCGTAATGATTTCGTTGTAGTTTTGCAGCAAAAGTACAGAAATTACGATTATCTTTCCTTCCCTATTGTGACGTATTTCCGAGTGAAACAAGAAAAAACCGTAGGGCGGGACTTGATTTTGTCCATTGGGTATTGATTGGATTGTTGGACGGTTGTCATTTGCTATTGGTCGATCTCATGTGAGTGACGGGTTGTCCCGTAAATGATGATAGTATTTTAATTTTTAAGTTAACTATTCCTTTAAAGCTGCAGTCCGCAGATTTTTCTCTTTGTCACCATCTCTGTTCGAAATCTGCAATTGCAGTTATTTGTGGAATTATCAACTTTACGTGAGTTGTACTTCGACACGGCACAGTGCGGATGAACACAGTGTTTGAGGAGAGTGTGCAGCTGTCAGTCACCGCGCCGGTGTGGATACTGGCATTCAGAATCACAGATTATTCTTTTTGGAAGTATGACCAACATAATAATTTTCACTGGAAAATGTCATCTGAACAAGTAAGAAACATTCACTTTTGTTCTGGTTTTGTCATTGCAGTAAATCGCGCTGATTAAATCTAAAAATCGCTTATCATTTCACGCAAAACCGTGCAAATTGTACTTTGTTCTCAAATTGTTAATGTCAGCATTGCGTGACTACGTGTCCTTCCGATATGTATCCTTGTTTTCGCATGGGTCCGGTTGCAGTCTCTTTTTTTCTGTAGTCACACCGAAGTCCGAACGAAGTCTTTTGCATTTTACAGCGGGTGAGTCTCTAGTTGTCACTGATAATCGTCGTTTGAACCTTTCTGGATCCGCCATCAAATTGCTAAGTTTAATTATATCAAGTGCTGTGAGAAAAGGCTATAAATCTCCACCTCCAACATCCTCACACTCAATATAGCCTATAGCCGAGACTCCTTCTTTATGTGTACAGATGTGACGTAATGACGCAAAGACATGCTCGAATCTCCCGTGGAAATCCACCAGTACGACTGGAATTAAAAACATTATTACAAGCTTACCGTTTTGAATCGAGCTAAGGCAAGCAGATAGTTTTGAACACTGGCTGGTTATGTATTTTCTCAAATGTATTTTGGATAATTTTTAACCCAAAAAAAGCTACGGACTGCAGCTTTAATGATCCTTATTGTTTTGCCCTAAAAACAGAGACCAATTGTGGACTTGAACAGGGAATTGTTCAGCCATTCCGAGTGGAAACGCTCCCAACCGATGTGGACAAAATCCAGATGTCTATGGCACGGTGCATCACTCAATCCATCACTGAACTGAGAAAATACCCAACAGTGTCATGATAACACTCCAGTGAACACCACTGCAGAGGATAATAAATATTCATTCATTCTGTTGAATGGGCTTAATGCTGCTCTTACAGTCCCTGCGGCGGACCCAAGTATTCTCCTCCATCTAAGTGGCATGCATTTTTAATACTTTTTATCACATTCAAGGGAGTCGAGAAACAACTGTACGGCATTCAGGACCATTAACCACTCGAGGAGCCGAGATAACATTTGCGTTAACAGGTGTTAGCGTGCCTCTAGTGAAATGGCTCAACGGCTTAGGTAATTCAAATAAGCGGAACACGCAACTACAATTTGTTGCTGGCAGTCAAATCTCACATAAAGCTTTTTCGGGCCGTGAGCAGAGCAACATTTTAACCCTTGGCCGGTGGCATTGAGAAACAAAGGATAAAATCAATAATGAAACATATATCGTTTTCTCAATACGTTCGAGCATGTCGCGATTGAACCGTAAATCACACTTGAGATTGCTGGGGTTGGCCATACGTGCTGTCAGTCGGTTGAATATTCAGAGTCATTCCCATGAGACCAGGCCCACACAGAGGTCTCCGATCTTTTTCTCGTTCCAGCTGCTGCCGGGTGACTCGCTGACGGGTCGGTCACACAAACACGTATGCAACATGGATCCAGCCCACACAGGCAGCGACCTGCTTTGGTTTACTCACCCTTTTGCCCTCTTTCCCTGGTGCTCCTGGTTGACCGGGCAGGCCAGGATCTCCCTGGGGAAGATGGGTAATGGATCAGGAATCAAGTTCTCAGAAAACATTGCAGGCTAGTCTGGATCTAGCTGTCTGTGGTCATAATTGCCCTCAAAAAACATGATTTAGGTCCAGAAGCAACATTGATGTGAATATGAGCACATAGCAGCTGGCTTCTGCCTGGACGGGTTTACATGTCGGCGCTTATTAAAGTGCTGAGAGACAGATGTTCAAACAGCATGGGTGAACTTCGTTATGGAAGGCAAAAAAATAAATATTCAATTTATAAAAAAAATGCTGTTGAAGGGCTTACCTTTTCTCCAGGAACTCCTGGAGGACCCTGCAAAAAAAAAAAAAGTAAGAAAAGAAGACAAATTTGAATGATTTTTAATATTCAAATAAAACAATTGGTGTCATTAAGATTTGTTTTGTTTTTATCTCTTATGCGCACCAAAACTGCATTTACTTGATATAAATACAGTAAAAGTAGTAATATTATGAAATATTATTACAATAAAAAAAAAAAAACATTTCTATTTTAATATATTTTTTTACTGTGAAAAAGCTGAATTTTCTGCATTGGTGTCATGATCTTCAGAAATAATTTTAATATGCTGATTTTCTGCTCAAGAAACATTTCTTATTATTATCAATAGTTAAACAATTCAATTATTTAAACAATTCTGCTAATTATATATTAGAGACATCGTGATCCATTTTTTTTTTGTTCATTTCTTTAAAGAATAGGGAGTTCAAAAACACCATATATAAATGAAACAGTAAAGACATTTATAATGTTGTAAAATATTTTTGATTAGGGATGCACGATGATATCGGGACAACATCGGTATCGGCCGATAAAAGCTTAAAATGACCATCATCGGCATCGGCCGATATGAATATTTCTGCCGATGAGCCTTGCCAAAAGGGTGGCGTGTTTCCTATGCGCACGTGACGCGAACGAAGCATGAGCGCCAGCAACTTAAACTTCCAACTAGGGGTGTGCGTCTCACGTTTTTTGATCGTGGACGATTAAAATGTCTCCACGATCTGCTTTTGAAGAAAAATCATAGTATCGTGCATTCTATCAGTTCAATTCTGGCGCCTTCATCTCAACATACTGTACAACGCGACGTACATTCACATCACATCACATGTAAACGCAGAGGTAGAGTTACATTCACGGGACACCTCAATTCACAAAAGTTCATTATTTGCATGTGCGTCAAAGTCTTGCTAGGTAAACATCATTCACGTGCTGATGCGCTGTTCTAACATCCGCTTTTCTGAGCGCGTTACACCCGACGCTCACAGGAACTAAAAGCCTGTCACAGAGTCTGCATACTGGACTAATCTTTCGAGTCTTATTGCGCTGATACTGTCAAATACACACACGGTTTACATAAACAAAGTTGGTTATGTCTAAAGTGAAAGCAAATAGAGAAAATCTGCTTGTCAAATGCGTGTATATTACACGTGTCGCGTGCAGTTCTTAAAGAGACAGTATAATATGCTGCCGCTTGTCCTTAAAGAGATACTGCACCCAGAAATAAAAATTCTGTCATTATTTACTCACTCTAATGTTGTTCCAAACCTGTATTCATTTCTTTCTTGTGCTTAAATATACTATGGAAGTCACTGAAGTACAGCAACTGTTTGGTTAGCCACATTCTTCCAAATAACTTTTATAATTTCAACAGAAGAAAGAAACTTGAGAGAGTAAATGATGACAATTTAAATTTTGGGGAGAACTATCTCGTTAATGTTAATAAAACAACAAAACACAAAGAGGAAATCATTCACTGCTCTTGACTGAGAACTTTAATAGAAGCTTTAATAAGCTTTTTTTGCACTTAAAAAACCCCCACAAATATATCGGTATCGGCATCAGGCAAAATTAGTCTGAAAATATCGGCATATCGAATATCGGCCAAAATCCTATATCGTGCATCCCTATTTTTGATCAATTTAATCCACCCTTGCTGAATATAAGTACTATTTTCAAAAAGGTAACTTGTAAGTGTATTTGGTGTAATTGTATTAGGAAATGCCAGTGCTTGCAACGCAGCAATAGAATATTGTTAAAGGGAACATGAAATGCATTGTTTATTGTTTTATAATGTTTCCTGGGGTGCACTTATAATGTTAGTTTGATTTTTACATCAAAAATAAAACAAAACATTTCCTACCCAGATTTTAGCCTCTGATTTAAACTCTCTGTTTGAAGGGCCGTGTCTGCTGTGAGACTTCAGTGTAAACGCCCACTGCTGTGATTGGCTGACATCTTTGCATATGAAATAAGTATTACATGTGGAACTCTCTCGAAGACTTTTACTACGTTTTTACTAATACAGCTCTCAAGCTTAACTAATTGTGAAAAGTGTTGATTATAGCATTATATTTAGATTGTGGCATGAAAGGTTGCAGTGATGAGCATTGTAGCCGATCACAGACATGTTGAGCGCATGAATGCAGTGATCTCGTCGTTACAACTCGATTTCAGCACGCTAACGAATGCTTTCATCATACTAACAGTGCAAACCATGGTGCAAACACAATGCAAGTAAGAGATTCGTTGATTATAACGGGAGTTTTGGAGAGAATTCAGTCACTGATAAACTGAGATGTTTGATTGACAGCTCCAACGATTGTAAAGGGAGCGTTCTTTGATCGCTTTCTATATATAATTTAAATTTAATGACAGTTTAAATAACAGATTATTTTCATCCTACTAAGAGAAACAATGTGAAGTTGACCGTTTAGTCACTGGTTTGATTTACTTCATGAATCATTACATATCAGAAATCACTGATCACAGATCAGGCATTATGATTAAAACACTTACATGTTGTCCCATTACTGTCAAGTCCATATCGTAAAAGTCTGTTTGCAAAGCCTGTACCGAATTTTTTTATTATTATTATTATTATTATTGAGTCAATACATTAAGCAAATTGAGTTGAATTATATACAGGAATATCTGAAGCAGAAGCAGACCAAGTGTTTTAATACAGGCTTTTGCTATGAATCATCAAAAATTCCAGGAAAATGCAGGAAAAGGAGGATATCAGTAGTGAGGGCTGCCTTTCAAGCCCTATAATAAAATTGTCATGAAAGGAAACAAACTAAAATCTGCACTGCTACGTGCTGGCATTCAGTTTCAGAACACACAAATGAAATGCGTTTTTACCTGGTCTCCTTTTTGATCTTGCTTTTCAATCTAAGAGAAAGCAGAAGGGAAATTATAATCATGTATTTCATCAAACAGAGATGGCAATTAACTTCAGCTGTTAACAGTGTTAAAACAAAGGTCAGGAACCAAGATATCTTTACAGTACATGGCCCAGTAAAAGGACAAAGCACATGACCATCACATACAGACGGCCTTTCAGATGCAGAGTAAAACAGTGCGGTGTTCTCTTACAGCTGGCATCCTCGAAAATACTGACACATCTTAGAAACAGCTGCAAAAATAGCCATTCACTCCTAGTGTCTGGTGAAAGTCAGAGAACAAGAGCTTTCAAAGCTCCTAAAACTGTCAAAATGTAACAGGGGAGGGAGAGTGACGTTAGTGTCCGTAATGAGAGCGACAGATGTCTACGCTGGCAAGATCCAGACAAGAATATAAAATAACCTGAAACATTGATAAAATCAGAAATGTCAGCTATAAGCTATTTTGTTTAAACCTTAATAATGCAAGCCGCTTGTAAATGTACTACACGATTTACAACTTGACTATAAGAGGGAGTGGTGATGCGGCGAGTGTGTCGTCGGCTTTCACGTTTGCATCCCTGGTATTCCTGCTTGTCCTCATAAAATGTAAAATTAGCATGAGTAAATAACTGTTATGCCCTGATACAGTTCCGTTGGGGTTAGTTTGCTGTTTAGGTTACATAAAGGGGCAGAGCTGTTGTACTGTATCCTAACACACAAAGAACATACTGTATATCCTGCTGTAGTTTTATGAGATGTAGCAGACGTGAATTATTATCTCCCTACTTGCAGGACACGTCTTACCTCCACAGTCTGGTTATTGTGAGCATGTGCTGGCTCTCATTTGCCTCTTATTTGTTTTAGTTGTGAAGATAAAGAAACTGAATGGCGTATTTATAGTATTAAAAAGTAGCGCAGTGGAATGGAAAAATGACTTCTGTGTGAACGGCCCTAAACTATTTTTAACTTTAGCAAAGAGTTAATAACGCGTTTTAATATAACACCTTTCTCATATCTGTGTCGGCGATAAGAAGTCAACCATTCCCTAAAACCTTAGCAAAGACTCTCCATAAATCTCATTTCAGTGCTTAATGCAGCTTATGCATATCATGTTTTATATGGATGTCATTCAAAAAGAGTCAGTGTCAGTATGGTGAGCTCTGAAATGACGTGCAGCGTTGTTGTAGGGTGAATTGAGATGCGTACCGACAATGTTCCTGAAACCGGTGTGCCTGGATCCCCCTGTAACAGAGACACAATCAAATTCACAAGAGTGATTATTGTTCAAATATAAGCAGATCATCCAAACAGCTGCATTTTGTTCCTAAAATATACAGAAGTGCAAATGATAACAGATCATTATCACAAACTGAATCAGGACAGGGGTTTATAGAGCTTTAACATTAAGTACATTAAGCCACTTATTACACAGTTTAGTGGCGATTATGCAAAAATGTCTGACTGCAGATTGCCGTGATTGACCAATCATAATTGACCTATCAAATATTTCAGAGCATTGTGCAAAAGTCAACTAAACAAAGAGGAAAACGGGTCTCATCGCATCTGCTGTATCAACTGACTCAGATATCTATGGACTTTCATGGTAAAAAAAAACAAAAAAAAAACGGATATTACATTTGAGATATTCTGCATATGCTACAGATATCGGTTATGTTCATCTTAAAGGGATAGTTCACCCAAAAAATTTAAATTCTGTAATTTACTCACCCACAAGTCTGTATGAATTTTGTCTTCTGAACACACACACACACACAAAAAAAAAGATATTTTGAAAAATGTTGTTGGACCCCATTGACTTCCATAGTATTTTTCCCCCCATTGTTTGTTTACCCATATTCTTCTAAATAGCTTCGTCTGTTTTCAGCAGAACAAAGGACTTCATACAGGTTTGGAACAACACGAAGGTGAGTAAATGATGACAGAATCTTCATTTTTGGGGGAACTATCCCTTTAAGTTGGTCCTTTTGAAGGCATCTTGAGTAAAACAGCTCAATATTTAATGAAGCGCTTTTTTTTAAAGAAACATGTTCTTCGTATACCTTACTTAGAAGAAAGTCAGTCATACGGGTTTGGAAAGACACGAGGGTGAGTAGAGGATGACAAAATTGTCATTTTTAGGAAAACTATTCCTTTAGGAATAACTCCGTTAGGCATATCTGAAAAATATTTGTCAAAATAAAACGACCTGCTGTTCCTCTATCTGTGCTTATCTGCTCTTAAATAAAGGACTTTCATATTTTCAAGGTTATGAAATACAAGCGGAGACATCAGTTTAAGTTAAAAACCCCTTGACAAAAACAGGCAGAGCTTTCCACAAATTCAATTTAAATCCACAGAAACTCCACATCAAAGTTTGCTGAAATATAAAGTTGCGAACACCTAAAGCCGGCCCGTTTGAAGATATTCCGAGTCATTCTATGTTTGAAGAGCGTGACGCGTCTTTCCGACTGTCAGTTTCAATCCAAACTAACGGTTTTCCTCCCTCCCTCTGTCTGACTGGGAGATGAGATGAAAAAGAAGCTAGTTATTCTCTGCTCGAACGCAGAAGAGCTCATTAGAACTTCAAGGCTTGAAAACACTGCATTGACAATTACGTGCGCAAGCAGGCAAACAAAGAAACCCAATACTGTAAAAGACAATGGGTAATATGGTAGCTAATTAGAGAATAACATTTGATCTATTGTTGGGAAAGAAGTCCCGCTGTGGGCCTTCGTGTGCCTGGTTTGGGGAATAAGATATCAGAGCAGGAAGCTCTATTCTACATTCAGAGTCACATCTTCCCTGCTGTGAAGGTCTGTCTGTTCTATCAACAGCATCTGTGACACACGGGCCATTACCTCGGAAAATAATACATTTGTGAAAACAAACATAAGTTGTATTTACAGTACAGTGAAGCACTTAAAATGACAGTCTATGGGGCGAGTCATGGCACTGGAACTTGAAGCGAACGCAGCAAAAAAATGTTTTTTTCACATTTTTCAAATGTTTTTTTTTTTTACTAAAACTGCACAATATGCTGCAACATATATTCAATAAAATTGTATGAATGGTATTATTATTATTAAGCCTAAATATAACAAAATTTTGGAATATTTATGCTTCAAACTAACAAACAAAAATGCTATTGGGGTGAGAAAAAACTATTTAGAACGATATATTCTCTGAACATTAACATTAAAATGTAAAAAAATGAACTTCACATTACTACTTCGAAACCCTCTATGCCTTGTACTATATGGTATATGCTTTAATGCAAACATCATTTTTCATTGTTTTTACAAATAAATTGAAATTATGAATAAAAAGCATGCCACAGATGCTGCCAATAGAACTTAACCTGTTTGTAATCTGAAACATTGCTTTACATATTTATATGAAACATAATACAACATTCTCTTGCTTGTTCATCATACATTAGTTTTCCCTGTCACCATATATGTGACTTCCAGTAATAAAATTGATTCCATCTCACAAAACTGAGCAGCATTCCGTGTGCCTGGTTTTACTACATGCTGCACTCAGCACAAGCAATATAAGCTACATTATCAATTATTGGATATACAAATGTTTCCTTGTACAATCAGTGGTTATGGTTCTTCTATGGTTCTACATTCTGCAACCAATAACTGATTCAAACAGCTACTGTAGTGACAAGGTCTGTGTTGACTTGGATGAAATATTGATCTACATGCACATGCATGCATACATACATAGTATAAATATATTGACATATATACACATACACATATATAAATGTATATAAATATATATAATTGAATACTTGAATCTGATTGGTTGACGAACGTTCTAAGGTGTGCAATTATTTTCAGGGAAACGCACGGCTTAAGTAGTTCCAGGCAGGTCTCGACCAAATTACAGTTCCATTACACTTCGCCAAATGATTTCAGTTCTTTTAAAGGTCTTTACAGCTGACACAATGACACCGACCGTGCAAATATATATATATATATATATATATATATATATATATATATATATATATATATATATTATAACGGCAAATTATCTCTCTGTTTTTTGCCACAAAATTAAGGTAATTCACACACGCTTAATCAATCTCTCTCTCTCGCTCTCTCCCTCTCATAACTGCATTCATCTGCTATCATTGGCTCAAGCCTCCGTTACTAGGTCTAAAATTATGTTTTGGAATTAGCAACGGAGGCTTGGGATGAGATGCATAAGAAATTAGTCCTACAGACAAGAGCGTTTTAAGGACAAAAACCTGACAAATGTCTTAAATACATCATCTGAACAATGTCTTGATGTGTGGTTACCATAGTATAAGCGGAATAATTGACTCCGGTCCATTGAATTATTAGAAAGTAATGCATACCTCGGGTGATTTTGATGCTCATTTCTCTCTGGATTTGGTCTTCCACACATGCATGTTAAGTCAGTGTTGATAAACACTGTTATTTTCATAAAATGGTAAATTAAACCTCACATTATTATTAGAGACATATTTTATATTTTTAACTCCATGACATTTTTTTATTTTTTTGAAAGCAAATTTTTATTCTCACAAAGCTGCTTTTATATAAAAATACAGTAAAACCAGTAATAGTGAACAATTTAAATATATTTTTTATTTATTCCTGTGATCAAAGCTGAATTTTTAGCATCATTACTCCAGTCTTCAGTGTCACATGATCCTTCAGAAATCATTCTAATATGCTGATTTGCTGCTCAATAAACATGTCTTAATATTTTCAATATTATAAACAGTTGTGATGCTTAATATGTTTGGGGAAACCGTGATACATTTTTTTGTTTTCAAGATTGTTTGATGAACAAAGTTCAAAGAAAACATTTATTTAAAAAACATTATTTTGATTGTTATCTTTACTGTCACTTTTGATCAATTGCATCCTTTAATGCAAACCAATTTAATGCAAAAAATGTCACAGATATCCAAACTGTTCAACGGTAGCGTAAAAAAAAAAAGTATCAGAATATCAGCAAATGCATGTCCCATTCATCATCATTCTAATCTAATATTTCAATATGTACTTTTTTCTAAAAGTAAAACGTTTCTGGTAAAAAGCAGAATTCATCTTTGTCCCTCATTTTTTGTTCAAACCTATTATGCAGACATTTCTCCCACAAAAATAATACTTTGACCTTTCTGACGTCATATCTGAGTTCCAACAAATAACTATTGATATTTTGCAAGGCTGTCACCACATATTTATGGGAAACCAATATTCAATATCTGACTGCATATTGGTGCTGGAGGCATATTTGGCAGTTATGGTCCCTGGTACATTGGGCCTAAAGTGGGAAAAATAAGTTTTCTAAAGTTTAACAGTGACATTTTCAAACTTTAAAATGTTAAAATGTTAATAAAAAAGTATATTGAAAATTGTCAGGCACAAATGGCAGTTTCCTAAGAATGACTCGCATTACAGATTGTGACTTTGCATCTATATGGAACTCTGCAAAGCTCACTGACTAAAAAAAACACATCCTTAAGATCATAGATACTCTGCCTCTATCTCTCTATGCTACAGTTTGTAAAGGTTGTTACAAGAAATCAAACTGGCAGGCCGACTTACTTTATCACCTTTGAGACCAGGTAGACCTTGAGGTCCAGGATCCCCTTTCAAACCCTGAGGAGACACAACGAACAGGAACCAGTTTAATCACAGAGTCCGCTACCTCACAGCATCCTGACAGGACAACTTAGGGGAAATCTTTCCAGTAAGCAAACAATGTATCAGTTTGACTTCCCTCAAGTTAAAGAATTCAGCAGGGAGCCGCTCCAGCCATCTTTTAGTAAAAATCATGCAATATGTGTCGGTGAAGCGGCGAGAATGAGTGTCTCTAGGTGTTAATGTGGCCTCATTTACTTGACAAATCTGCTCACTTCTGCACTTTTTAGTGAATGATTTGCACAAATTGCATATAGACACAAAAACACGCTCGCTTTCACAAGCCCTCCGTCTGGAGTCGGGATTAGAATTCCCATCACCTGCCTGCAAGAGCTTTGTGAGGGGAAATCTGATTGGAGATAAGGCAAAACCACAGGCAAAGTCAAAACTCATAGTGCTTAAAAGCAACAGAGAGAGAACAGGTGATGAAAAAAATAAAGAGGAATACAAGAAGGTGAGGGAGGGAAAACCGTCCGAGAAGAGGTGGCTGATAAACGAGGCCTGACACGTATTGACAGGTTAAATTTACAGGGACTCTTGTTAGGTGTGACACATCAAGACCGGCAGCTACACAGAGAGAGATTTCTGAAATAAGTCAGAGGGTACTTAGAGAGAAGGGATCACTGGCCCTCAAAACACAGCAATTTGTCTTGGTTAGGCTTTTGAGTGAGACTATTAATACTGAATTATATCAGGCTCAGATGAGCGCCTTGCCCTTTTTTTAATCATGTCTCTGAGTTTGCGGATAGAGATGCGACTAATTTACTCTTATGATGGCGAAGCTTGTCAAGACAGTTGAGGGAAAGCTCGGCCTCGAGAACACTAATCTAGAGCCCGTCTCCATAAAACAAGACCAACACAAATAAGATGCGTAAATCTGGCAAACCTTCTTTCGCATCAGCCGTCTTACTATGAGAGTCTTTTTGTGAGAATGATGATAGTGAGGCTTTACACACACACACACACACACACACACACACACACACACACACACACACACACACACACACACCAAGAAAAAGTTATTCACAATAGAATATTTATTTTAGATATGTAATCTTAGCACTTCACATTCTCTTGCACTATTTAGAACAACAGCCAATGAAATTGCAAGAACACTTGCTTGCTAATTAGGGTCAGGAACACACCTGCTGAGTGGTCGGCCTGTTTTAAAACACAAAACAAAACAAAACAAACACAAAAAAAAAAAAAACATCGAAACGAAACGAAACATGACACGAAAAAAAAAAATTCATGGGTGGGTCAAAAGAAAGAAAGAAAGAAAGAAAGAAAGAAAGAAAGAAAGAAAGAAAGAAAGAAAGAAAGAAAGAAAGAAAGAAAGAAAGAAAGAAAGAAAGAAAGAAAGAAAGAAAGAAAGAAAGAAAAATCAAAAACTAAAAACTAAAAAAATAGATAAACATCAAAACGAAACATGAAACGAAAAAAAAAAAAAAAAAAAAACACCAAACAAAAATCAAAAACTAAAAACTAAAAAAATAGATAAACATCGAAACGAAACGAAACATGAAACGAAAAAAAAATGCATGGGTGGGTCAAAAGAAAGAAAGAAAGAAAGAAAGAAAGAAAGAAAGAAAGAAAGAAAGAAAGAAAGAAAGAAAGAAAGAAAGAAAGAAAGAAAGAAAGAAAGAAAGAAAGAAAGAAAGAAAGAAAGAGAAAGAAAGAAAGAAAGAAAAATCAAAAACTAAAAACTAAAAAACTAAAAAAATAGATAAACATCGAAACGAAACATGAAACGAAACAAAAAACAAAACAAAACCAAACCAAACAAAACAAAACAAAACAAAACAAAACAAAACAAAACACAAAACAAAAATGCATGGGTGGGTCAAAAGAAAGAAAGAAAGAAAGAAAGAAAGAAAGAAAGAAAGAAAGAAAGAAAGAAAGAAAGAAAGAAAGAAAGAAAGAAAGAAAGAAAGAAAGAAAACTAAAAACAAAAAAAATAGATAAACATCGAAACGAAACATGAAACGAAACAAAAAACAAAAATGCATGGGTGGGTCAAAAGAAAGAAAGAAAGAAAGAAAGAAAGAAAGAAAGAAAGAAAGAAAGAAAGAAAGAAAGAAAGAAAGAAAGAAAGAAAGAAAGAAAGAAAGAAAGAAAGAAAGAAAGAAAGAAAATTTAATACAGAAGTACAAATAAAAAGTTTACAATACAATTAAGTTCCATTTGTTAACATTAGATATTTAACTTACTATTTAAAAAAAATAGGCACTATTCAGTGAATTCCGTGCAGCGTTTAGTAAGTGAGCACCACGTTTCAAACATACCCTCAATCCAGCAAGCGGTTACATTTCTACACCTATCGTTTCTTGACTAAACTTTGACTGAGGCCATAAAAGATAGATGGAAGTAAGAATCGGCACTTGAACCTGATCAGGACTGCAGTACTGTGAAAACACTGGTGGAGGGGGAAGCTCGCATCGGGACTGGGATGGAGGTTAGACTGCGGCTGCTCTTAAATGATGTATGTTCTTTGGAGAGTGCACTACCGTCCTGCTTTTGGCAGAATCTAATGACTCCTTGAGGGAACCAGTGCACCTTTCCTTTGTTGTTCCACCTCCCCGAGAGCAGCCCCAGTTAAGAACAGCTGCATTGGCCCTTTTCAGAGGGCCTTGAGCTCCAGGCCTTACAGGCTGTTCCGATGGAGAGACTGTAGTTAGCCTCTGCTTGCCCTGGGCACTTCAGCACAAGCGGGCAGGTGAAGGATGGGTTAAAATCAGGGCTGTGTCCCTCTCCCGGTCTCGTCACACCAGCGTGAGGTCAACATGCCGCGGGGATTCTGCTCACTTGCCTGATAATTATGTACAGCACAGCGCGTCCTGGCTGCAGAACAGGCCAGGTCACAAAAACAATCTGGCATCTTCCCAATACAGAGGCACACACACGCACTCAGCATTCCCAAAAAGGTTTTGGACACCGAAGCCAAGCTTAATGTATGAATATAATCACATCAGATTATATGTTTAATCAAATGGCTTTCATTTTGTTTTAAAGAAATGAAGCACTTCACACAAATATTAACAGTTTCTATGGAAGCCTATTTGTACCTAAACACACGTAATTCGTTGCATTACACATTTAAGGTGAGATAATCTGACTACTAGACCATTTGATTACTTTTGAACTAACTTATTTATCACATTGAATTGAATAGGATAATCTTGTACCGTATTGATATAAAAAAGCGGAGAAAGAATATATTCCATTCTTTGTTATGAACATCAAGTGCATTAAATATTACATTACATCAGGGGTTCGTGATGAAACGTCAAGGGGTTTGTGAGTTTAATGAAAGTGTTAAATGATAAAAATGTAAAATAAAATAAAAATATATAATTTCTTTTAATAAAAACAATCAAAATAAAATTAACCGGCCATTAACTGACATCAGGAGAACCGTGAACTTAATTTTATTATTTATAATGGTGCTCTGTTTGATCTATTCAAAATCAGATAAGACTGAGGTATTACTCATTGGACCAAAAACCTGCACACAGAATCTGTTAAGGGTCGTTCACACCAAGAACGATAACTATAAGGATAACTATAACGATAACTATATTTGCGCCCACACCAACGAACGATAACAACACCTAGTCACCGCAACTTCGATAGAAGCAAGACAATATTGTCAAAACGAGCGCTGGATACCTGAGGTAATACTTCTCACCATTTATTCTGACCGATTGAACGATTGTTTTCCATATCCATTTTCTTGAAAAGGGGCTTGACTTGTCAAACAGTGGTGGATTTTTCTTGAACTCGGCGATTAACTTCTCCGCAATGCCGTCTGCCATTTTAACTGCTTAAATTAGTTTGGCTGTCAGTGTCTTATCGTTTAAAAGCTGGAAAAAAATTGTTTTGAAAGTGATCCCAACGATATCGTTTCTCTATATCGTTATCGTTATAGCTGTGGTGTGAACTCTGCTATTCTTTAATATTGAGAACGATTTTTAGAACCATATCTTTATCATTATCGTCCTTGGTGTGAACGGGCCTTAAGAATACAATTTGCATTTAGAAGGAATTACTGTTACTTCATCCTCCGCAGTAAAAGACCTGGGTGTTATATTAGACAGCAACTTGTCTTTCAAAACGCATATTTCATGTTACAAATACAGCCTTCTTCCACCTCAGAAACATCGCTAAGCTCTGGAACATGGTATCTGTTTCTGATGCAGAAAAGTTCATTCATGTATTCATGACCTCTAGAGTCTAGACTAGATTACTGTAGTGCATTACTAGCTGGTTGTCATGCATCCTCAATAAACAAGCTAGAGTTAGTCCAAAATGCAGCTGCTAGACTTCTTACTAGGTCAAGAAAATATGATCTCATAACACCAATTTTATCATCTCCACACTGGTTACCTGTTAAGTTCCATATCAATTACAAAGTATTGCTACTGACCCATAAGGTCCCAAATTCCTTAGCTCCTGTGTAATTAACCGATCTTCTATCGCCCTACAAGCTCTTTAAGGTCACAAAACTTGGGGGTCTGTAAGTACCTAGGATATCTAAGGCCACTAAAGGAGGGAGAGTGTTTTCGCATTTGGCTCCTGAACTCTGGAAAGGCCTTCCTGATGATGTTCGGGGCTCAGACACACTCTCCCAGTTTAAAGACACATCTCTTTAATCAAACATTCACATAATACATCCCATAACCTTGTACTCCAGTTATATCAGATCAAATGCACATGATTATCTCTGCATGAAATGTTATGAACCGCAGCTATGCTAATTACTTTCTATTTGTTTTTTGGTTTTATCTCGGGAGGCCCATCCTGACGACTCCAACTCCTGCGAGGACTTTAAGTGAAGCAAACTCTGAATCAACATGCACCAATGCTACATTTTCTAAACATTGTAATCATTGTGTTAACAACTTCTAATAATTACTTCAATGAGCTCATTGTTCCTGCCTTAAATGAATACATTG